GGTGTAGGGTCATACTCATAGTGAACGTACTTGCATGTCTATCAAAGTACAAAAAGCATAACACAACTCAAACTAATGATAGACATTACTAAAATGAAAATCAATTCAATATAAATTGAATCAGAGGTAAAAATCATGCCTTCATGTGTCGGCAAGTATCAAGAAAAGAACAGTCTCCCAAATTGATGTCAGTATGAGGAGCAATTATCCGTCTAAAATGAACCTGCCAAGGAAAGGATCATTAATGCACATCAAGAAAAGGCTAATAAAAAATGTAAATACCAATTTCCATGGTTAGATTTCATTGAAAACCACACAATCAGTATACAAGCTTAAATCAATAGTGAGAGTTAGAAATGCAATCAAAGAGATGGAAAACAGTAAAATATTGTCTCTGTCACTAACCTTATCACATGCTATAAAGGAACCAGATTGACGTCGGCAATCCTCTTTTGTCAGTAAGTCACAGTATTGCCTAACCTGAGAACCACCTTTTGTTTTGAACTGAAACAACAAATGGTATAAACAAGCTGAATTAGATTAAACTGCACAAAAATGCACTCAAAGCTGACCAACACAAAGGAAATTTGAGTGTAGACCCAATTAAAATTGGCAGTGAATTTGAACCTTAGCAGCTACAGCAGTCTCCCTTGCAGTTGGTCGGTGAATTAGGTCCAAAAGCTCCTCACCAGTTTTAGATTTTTGCATCTCCCTAAATGATTTCTTATTCAACAATGCCTCAAGATCCTTCATATCATCCTCAAAAGTTCTTGGTTTCTGTGGCATCGCATTGGGACTACTCGCTGGTGCATTTGGCCCCAGAGGGAGTCTATGCATGGAAGCAATACCCATACCTCTATGTGTCCCCATCATGCCCATTACCCTGGGTGCTCCCCTTGGCCCTCCTGAAAACATTGGCTGCAACCCTGACATATGAGGGTCCCCATGGGATATCCACATGTCAGACATTGGCCTCATAACTGGTCTTCCCATCCCAAGCAAACTACCATTCACATTAGTACCACTGGCAGTGATTTGCTGACCTTGATTTTGATTCACATACCCCTCTCCAGAATTTGATTCGAGTTGCTGATATTGTGCACTCTCTGGCAATTCTCTTAGAAGCCGAGTTCTGTCTATATTCAAAACCATTATTCTTGCCTTCCCACTCACCACAAACTCCTCCACTTCAACACCTCCATTATCATCTGCCATTGACCTCAAAGCTATCTCCACTGCAAGTGTTGCCCCTGAATCCCCTCCGAGTTCCTGAAGCGCAGCCTTCTCTGCTGGTGTCACCGTCTGGTCATTCTCTAACTTCCTCGACACAGTGGAAGAATCAATGGGAGAAAAGGGCACTCGCCCTAAAAGACAAACAGCAACCAGTGATCGAACCACCGCCAATGGACTAACCCTTTCAGATTCTACTAGACAAACTGGGTTTGTATCCATAGATGTTTTCGGCTTTTGATTCTTAGGACTTGTCAAGTCAGCCTCAACAGAGCCATCACCACAGGTTTCAATTTTGGGTTTTTTGGGATTCAATTTAGGATCAGGCATAGGCAGAGAAGGTGTAGGAGCAAAAGGACGACCGTTGAAAGAAGAGACAACCTTAAGAGAAAGGTCAAGGGACGAAACAAGATTGGGTATAATGGCTTGTATAGAAGCAAGCATCTCCATGTGAGCCTTGTGTTGGGACTCTATGCGAGCCTCAAGCTGTTGCCGCATATCTTTAATGGCAGCTATGGCATCTTCATTACCATCTGACTGTGTCTCCATAGGTTCCTCCTAAAACCCAGTAATGCATCACATTTTATTATTTCACACGTTCTAATTACCAACTAGGATTGTTCAACAAGCAAGAAATACAAACAAGAAGATCTTGAAATCAGTTTGATAATTAAAACTGGGGAAAAAAGGCTTAATTAAAATATATATATATATATATATATATATATCATCTTCATAAAACATCAACACTAATAGAATAGAAGATTGAACGAACCATCCAAAAAAAAGTTTGAATCACAATAATAATAAAAATAACAACAACAACAATTGGTAGCCAATAGTGCATCATATTTTATTATTTCAGACATTCTGATTAACAACTAGGATTGATCAACAAGAAAGGAAAAAAGATAAAAACAATTAAAATTAAAAACAGAGATTAAAAAAATTATATATCATCTTCATAAAACATCCAAAGCAATAGAAGATGGACCGAACCAAAAATAATAACATTGTCGATGGCCCAGATACTGAAAGTACTTAAATTTATAGGAAAACAAATTTTTTTGGTGGCATTAGAGTTACCTTAGAATACGGAATGAAAAACCCTAATTCTTGAAGAGCTAGAGCCCAGAATAGGAGAACTTGAAAAACGACGAAATACCAAATCTCCGAAATAGAGTACAGACCTATTGAAGGGTGAAACTCGCCGGAAGTTGGGGTTTTTCCTACGGCGAAGAAAAGACGATGAAATAAGGGGTTTAAGGGTTGCAGGTAGGAACAGTCATACTGAAAAAGAAGAAGAAAACAATGGCTGGAGTATAATATTCATTTTATTAAACAGTCCCAAAAAAAAAAAGACTAGTTTTTAATAAAAACCTGAAATCGATAATAAATTTATTAAAAATTACTTTTTAGTGTGTATATAAAAATATGTTAAAAAATTAAAATTTTATTTAAAATTATATAATTCAACGTTATTAATATAAATTATGCAATATTTTATTATTTTTAATAAAAAGATTATCATACATAATTTTTACATACTTAAAGGTTGAGTTAAAATAACTTTTTATGGGTTACTTTATATTTTAATGATCATATTAATTTAATTTTATACTTTTACTTCTATTTATTTGTGATTAAACTAATATATTATAAATAAAATTTTTATATTTGTTAAATTAAAAATGCATCATTTAACCCTAATAATGTGGATATGTAACAATAATATAATTTATTTAGTCTTAACATTGAAAATAACAGTGAACATTTATTTATGTAAAAATTAGTAGTTTGTTGTTCATTTCATAGATGTTATTAAATTAAAAATTTTAAATAAATAAATAAAATTATATTATATAATAATTTTTAAATTTAATATATTCTATTATATATAATAATAAATTACTTGATATGAAAAATTTCTTTTTAAAACTGCTCTTATTTTAAAATATTAACATTTAAGAATTCCTTTAAAATGTTTTTATTAAATAATTAGTAGTTATAATTGATATGTAAACTCAATTTGGATAAACTTTTAGATAATTTTTATTAAAAAATTAATATAAAAACAAATAATTTTTTTAATAAGTTAAAAACATCATATCTAATTAAATTTTAGAAAATTTAAAAAATATAAGTTAATTTTAATATATAGAAAAAATTATTTTATTTTATTACTTTATATTTACTTTTATAAATATTTATTAAAAATTGTATTCAAATTAGACCATAAAAATTTATTAGAATAATGTAACAAATGAAGTTGAAACATTTATTCACATTTGATTCTTATTAACTTTTAATAAAAAAAATTCCATTTATTAATTTGCAGCCGTTTCATATGAAGTACAACCATTAAAATTGTGTGACTTGACAAATAATTTAAGCAATTACATGTTATACAAGAATTGGTTCCATGAAAAAACAAAACCCGTGGAACAATGCAAATTAACCAACAATAACAAATTTAAAAATAGAGTACTCCAAAAAATTGAACTAAAAATGGATAAATTTATATAAAAAAATATTTTAAAAAAATTTATTTCATAAAATTTTATAAAGTTAATGTATTTTAATAAACCAACAAACTGCTAGTTAGAATGTTGTTATCAGATAAATTACCTTTATAAAATTTAATAAAAAATAAAATAATTAAATACTTTAAGTAATATATTATTAATAGATAATATATTTTTAAAATATAAATTTAAAATTATTAAGATGGGTAAATATTCAACACCTTATATATATATATATATATATATATATATATATATATATATATATATATATATCTTTCTTTCAAAATTAAAGGAAACAATAAAAATTGTCTTTGTTCCGTGCTTCCATCCTTCTCCCCTTCCGTATTCACTCTAACAGCTCATTCACACACTCTTTGCTTCAGCCCATGCCGCTCACACATGCCCACTCGGATCAGTCCTTTGTTCTTAACTTCTTATGCATATCAGTTTATTTGTTATAAATAAGGGAGATTTCTAAAGAAGGCGAAAAGAGAATTGAGAAAGATTGAGAGAACTTCAAGTATCAACATTAAAAAAAAAGTAGAATAAAATAGCATGAAAAATATGATAGGTAACAAAGAATAAAGAAGAAATTCAGAGCTGAGTTGTGAAGTTGCAAAGAAAATTTCACAGGTAAATTGGACAGGTTGATGCTGATATTGCATGTTGTTGAGCTTTTACTACGGAAAATATTGATTGTATTACTAAAAGGAACATTTTAAGTATTTCTTTTATATTTGTATAAAAAACGGAAGAGATAAAAAATAATGATATATAATCATGTAGTGTTAATTTTTTGTGGTTTAAATAACAAAATTGTTATACTATTGGGTTTTGTAGGAAGGCGTTTGTTAATTTTCTTGTAGGTTCTAGATTATTTGTTTGATGGGCTTGTACTTTATTAAGTCTCTCTCATATACTATATTATTTTGTTTAGTAGTAAGCATATGTTTAAACACTCAACTTCAAATATTTTTATGTAAATAGAACCGACATCGTTTTCTTTAGTTTGAAAACTGAGATCATTTATAACTCCTTTTTTTGGCTGGACACTTATTGTGGAATGCTAAATTTTTAAACTTCTTGGTACGGTTTTAAACTTCTACATAATGTTGATATTTTCTCCTTTACTGTGCAGAACATTTTCAAAGTAATTTTATAAACGCACACGCATTTGGGACATGTGACCACACACTTAGACTGAAGCAATCGAAGTGCTAGCATATGCAGCAGACCAAGGAAATGGCTGAGAATAAAATTCATGTGGTGATGCTTCCATGGTGTGCCTTTGGTCACTTAATGCCGTTTTTCCAACTTTCCATAGCCTTAGCCAAAGTTGGTCTTCGTGTCTCCTACATATCAACTCCCAAAAACATTCAAAGGCTTCCCAAAGTTCCTTCAAATTTAGCTCATTTGGTTGATTTGGTGCAACTTCTTTTGCCATCATTAGACAAAGAGCCATTACCAGAAGGTGCTGAGGCCACCATGGACATTCCACTTGAAAAAATTCAATACTTAAAGGTGGCATATGACCAGTTGCAACATGATGTAAAGCAATTAGTGGCCAATCAGTCACCCGATTGGATAATTTGTGATTATTATCCCTATTGGATGGTAGAGATTGCCCAAGAGTTTCAGGTAAAGCTAATATTTTATTCTGTTTTCTCTGCAGCAACACTAGCATTAGTTGGACCACCAGATACAATAAAAACTCCATTATCTCCAGAAAGCCTAATAGAACCTCCAGAATGGGTGACATTTCCGTCATCAGTGGCTTTGAAGAGAAATGAGGCTATTGCTTTTAGTGCTGGTGCCAACAAGGTAAATGCTTCTGGGGTAAGTGAACTTGGAAGGCTTGCCAAGGTATTTGGTGCCTCTAAAGCTGTATTATTTCGTACTTGCTATGAGATTGAAGGAGAATATCTAAAGGTAGTGCAGAAACTTGTTACGAAGCCTGTGATTCCTTTAGGTTTATTGCCTGTAGAGAGGCTAGAGAGAGGAATTGTTGATGGGTCTTGTAGTAAGATATTTGAATGGCTTGATAAGCAAGCATCCAAATCAGTTGTATTTGTGGGGTTTGGCAGTGAGTGCAAGCTGAGCAAGGATCAAGTTTTTGAGATAGCATTAGGACTTGAGGAGTCTGAATTGCCATTTTTATGGGCACTGGGTAAACCAAGTTGGGCAAGTAATGATCAAGATGCTCTACCTGTTGGTTTTAAAGAAAGGACATCTGAAAGAGGAATTGTTTGTATGGGATGGGCACCACAACAAGAAATATTAGCACATCCATCTATTGGTGGGTCCTTGTTTCACTCTGGCTGGGGCTCTATCATTGAAACCCTGCAGTTTGGTCATAGTCTAGTTGTGTTACCCTTCATATTTGATCAACCTCTTAATGCAAGGTTTTTGGTGGAAAAGGGTCTAGCCATTGAAGTTAAAAGAAATGAAGATGGTTCGTTCACTAGAAATGACATTGCCACATCTCTTAGAGAAGCAATGATAATGGACGAAGGAGAGAAGCTCAGAATTAAAACAAGAGAAGCTGCTGCGGTTATTGGAAACATGAAGCTTCACCAGGATCATTACATAACTGCATTTGCTCAGTTTCTTAAGAATGAAATCTGGAAATAGATATGAAGTTGAAGAGTTTACTAAGGTATTTTGAATGAAATTGTATTGGTGAAATGGCTAGTAAGGGGGAACTTTTCATCTATTATTTTCATTTTAAGTGTATGTTAACTCATTGTCACTTGGTCCCAGTGAGTATTAAAATTCGTTTGAACTCCTTATTTTATTTTTCTTGAATTTTATTATTTTTTATCACTAATATTAGCATTATAATAATATTCACATTTTATTAGTTTATCAAATAAGCATATAATGGAAAAATATATTCATATTAACTAAAATACTGATAATGAATTTACGTGCGGATATATAAACACCTTTTTCTTTTTCGATAAGCACGGATATAAAAGTATCTAACAAATGAAGATACAAATATTAAAGTTGCTACCTATACCGATATAATCCAAATACTTTTTTGTCTCAACACAAATATAGAAATAAAAATTGTAATATCATACCGAAATCCCCCTCATTTTCCTCCTTTACTCCCTACCAAATCAAGCGGTAATAATTGATCTCTCTGAGCCTGACCACCAAGTATCACTCCAATACTAAAACTGAGCCTGACACACGTTTGAGTGTGACAAGATATTTTATAAACAAGTACATTTACACTTGGTTTAAATAAGCTTTGAAGAAAAAATTGCTTTTATGATTTATTTTTTTAAAAAAAATCAACATTCTTGGAAATTATTGTATTTGCTTTTGAAAAATCCGCTTTTTAGGTATATTGTAATTAGAAATACCTATAGTAGACTTGCTATTGCTTTAAAGTTGCTATCCTCTAAGAAACCTAAAATCGCATTATTCTTTAGAAAATGATTTGATTAAACTTTAGGATTACTAAACTCACTTGATTCAAATATCCTTAATTGTAACAGGGGATTAACAAGTCATCGCAACTAAACTAATTTCTTTTTGAGAGAGAATATCATATTATTATAGTAACTAAGTTTTATTATTTATAAAAAAGAAGGGACTTCATAAATGGATGATGCCACTTAATTCACTCATAATGTAAAACCTTTTATATTGTTGACTACATCAAAATTCACAGGTACAAGTACTAGAAAACTGCTTTGGTGCCAACGAATGACAAATTAATATACCTGCAGGCCTTGTATTAGTAAAATTAAAGCTTACCATGTCTTGCAATCACGTCTTCCAAAATTGTCATCGTGTGGAGCATGTCATTTAGAAGACATGTCTTGCCATGTGCTGCCAAGAGCAACCCCGTGATTCTTAATGATCTGAACCGCCTGCAGAAGAATATCTTGTTCGGCAGAGTATTGCTCATCTCTGCGCTGTAAGAAAGAGACATACGAGAAAAACATGAGAGCTAAAAGGATGTATAGCCAAATACGGGGAAATAATAAAACTTTCTTGTAAAAATTAAGAACTAAAAGATAAGGAAACAAATCAATAGTCTCAACCGCAATGTCTTGACTCTTGGAAGTCCAATCTCAGTATATATAACAACTACATTTCTTGAAGAGTGCAGCTAGGCGCAAAAAGGACCTTACCAAGCCAACATGGCAACCTTGCACAAAAAGTCACCTAGGTAATATGATTCAAGAATCGAGACAAATGGTTTTTTTTTTTAGATACATTTATGAAATGTTCATTACTAAAGCTGTGTAACCTTAATTGAGCTTCCCTCAGTTTTCTGGTCCACACACCACACTCCACATGTGCGCACAAGTGTGATTTAAAGAGGAATTGCCTCACTTCCAATCAGCATTAAGGATTAATTGGTAATCAATAATCCAGCAGGAATCAGAAACTAATTACCGTACACTTCGTCTCATATCAAGCTAATAAAACATCAGCTGCACAATTTCACAGATTCTCCTCTCTCTATTTTTACAACCTATCAGAAAATCAGATGACGAGACTCCTTGGCCAGTTGGCCATCCATTACCCTTACCTGAATGATGCTATTTTTCTATTAGTTATAAATATATCATCAAAGTATTTAGTGATTGAAATTTAGGTGCACTGAGATATCTTTTGCATAATCCTTGCACATCAATTTCTTATAATTTATATTTAAGAATAAATATTCCAAAAGCATTTTATGAACAGAAAGGATGACTACAAAACAACTATGATATGGATCAATTCAGGCATTCAGATGAGCAAGGTACCATGTGTTTAAGGTTGTATCCAAGAGTCAATTCTGCATATGAACTTTCTATACGGGACAAGAAACAGTAGGGAACGTCTTTTCCTAAGAAAACCTTCGCATTTGATCTTAGCATGCTTTTAACATCATTTGATATCTCGGGAATCTTAGTTAAATCCTCAGTTTGCAGTGGAATTTTCGAAATAATGGCATGATATTCAGCACGGGACTTGTTCACTATAACCTACAAAGTCAACATGAAAAGAAGGCTGTAGGGCAGAAAGCAGATCATAATCACAAGATCAAAAGCTTAAGCAAGAAACACAATTATAGAATTATGGCAAGAGCTTTTGCATCAGTTGTGTGTGTGCACTGTGCAGACATGTAAATGTGGGTACGACCTTCAAAATTTACATCCTCTGTAGAAGTTTCCCAACACATATTCAAGCCCAAAAATCATATGTTAGGTAATTATAAAAATTAAAAATATAGGTGCAATCAAGTAAGTTAATAAGAATTTTTGCCACTATAAAATCTGATGGAAAGAATAGCTAGACAAATCTAAGCTCTAAATATAACATCAAACAGAATCTGACAATGAAGGAGCTGCAAATGGTATGATAGCAATGCATTATCAAATTATTTGATCAAGAGAAGAAAAAATTGTTTTGCATCTGCACCCCTTATTGTTCATGATAAGAAAAAAACACATATGGTTCAAAACACATGCACATGCCAGATCTTGCTTCTCCCCTGATGTATTCATTTTTATCTTTTCCATCGCAAACAAATCATAATCTAAGAAATACCATGCAGCTGAAAGATCACTGTAATCTGCCTAAAAGGATGGTAGACAACAGATTTACATATAAATTGAGGCAACAAGAAGCCAGCTCAAACTACTGCTTGGAAAGTCGAACAGAAGAACTATAACTTGATGAATCATATGAGAAATGAGAATATTCTTGGTTTAAAAATAGATTTAACTATATGAGATACAGCTACGTAGCAAGCATTTTCCAATAAGTTGTATATCTTAGCATGTAGGAGGGCCAAAAGATCAACATGATTGATTAGTAACGTGTAATTCAGAACAGATTTGGCTCTCTTGAAGTCACTGCATAGATGCATTCAGAGAAAGAAACAATAAAGTAGGCTCCACTAATCTGTTAAGAAACACTGAAAAGGGGGAAGCGGGTGCACCTGGCTAGAAAAAAATGTGTTTGGCACAATGACTGGGAACTTCTCCGAACTCAGCAATGATGTGGTAGTAAGACCCATTTCCACCACTTGACCCTCTATCGAGCCAGCCTGCACTTTATACAATTTCTCTGACACATTTAAGATATATTGGACATAACCAGGGGCAGGCCTACACTGAAGCATGGAACCTTTCACAATTTCCAAATCTTTGAAATTCTCTTTGCATTTCACCAAAAATTTCATGATAAATAAGTCAAGACCTCCAAATTTCATTATATATTTTCTCAAAAATCCACACCAAATTTTATTTTTACTTCGGCTCCAATGTTCTAACACTAATTTTAACCCCTGATGTACAAACAACATCTATATAAGCAATACATATTGGACTACTACAAAAAAGCACCTGTAATGAATGACTATAATATTATAATCACCTAATGTATAAGTAGTAAAAATAATAATAGTCATTCCTCAGCTGAAAAATATAACTGCAAAGAGGGCATTCAAGGGTGAAACAGATAGTGAAACCATGGTTCAGAAAATAACTTTTACCGTAAAAACTAAAACATGATCAAGCATTAATGTGTACCTACAAAATCAACATACTTTTATTGTATCTCCAATTGAAAAGGGCTTTGAAAACTGCATAGATAAACCACTGAACACATTGCCAAGAATGTCCTTGGCAGCAAAAGCAGTAGCCACTCCTGCATAAGAAAGACAGAACCATGAAACACCTTGTTTTATCAGTAGAAAAAATAAAAATAAAAAAAATGAATAAGTGAAACTGTTAATGAATGGGAAGCAAACTAATAAAAAACTAATTAAATGAATAAAGATCTTGACATGTTTTAGTATAAGACTCTTAAGCTGGATCGAAAGGTAGAAATTCTGGATAGCTGATAATTTTGGTAAATGGAACATAAGAAAACATGCCTGTGCGTGCATGTGTGCAAGTATTTTATTCTTTTTTTTTTTTTCCTTATTATTGACACCATACATTTTTACAGCTCTAGAACTAGGATCTGGCTCCTCTAAAATGAGGGACTTCACTTTAGAGGATGAAGTGCACTTACAAGTAACAATAGTTACTTAAAAATTCAACAGTTGATATCTAGCACATGTATAACAAATTTTCTAGTTGCAATCTCAACGATTGATTTTCCTATAAATGAGTATTTGTGCACTTTATCCTCTTAAGTGCCCTCACCTCACTTTAGGCAAGCCAAATCCCTAGAACTGCCTATCTCTTTAGAGATTGAGGCATTTGCACCTGCTCGTTATACAACTTTTTGTATGAACCAACTTATGCAATATGTCCCAACCAATCCCTTCAGTAGGTATACAGATAAAATTTGCAAAAACAGTACAAATCAAGGGATTATAAACCACTTTAACTTATTTTGTCAAATTTGAGCCCTTTTCTGTAAGAAAAATGGCGCTGGCAACACCAGAGAATAATATATTGATTTCTAATTTTCTACAGAGCTGATGATGTCAACTTTCAAAAAGATTGATATACCATAACAAACTTTTCTTTCCCAAAACCTACACTCTCAACATGAATTTTCCTGCCTCCGTCCCCATGATAGAAAACCGAGGATAGATAGGAAAAGGAGAGATGCAAAAAATTTTAAGACTGTAAAATTATACTGAGTAGATTAAATTATTTTTAATACTAACCTCCTATACCACCGACAGTCACAATAGATTGCACGGCCACACCACAAGCCTCAGCCAAAGCCATTATACCAATCACAAATAGACCAATAGATGAGATTTTGTCTAGAGCAAGTAATTTCTCTCTATCAAGTCCAAGTAAACTTTGACTGGACAATGTCCGTGCAAAAACATTTGCTTTCCATCTATGCAAAAACCATACAAATGAAAGTATCACTGCACCCCTCCAAACAGGTGCAAGATACTCTGAGGTTATAGTTGTTGGAGCTACCATTACACCACTGGAAATCAAAGTCAGATGTCATATAACCACACAAATTGTAAAAAGAATAACATATTAGAAAATGAACAAGTGTATATAACACACTAACATTTGTGAGAATGCCATGAAGGTGACTAAATAACGCACTGGATCTTCCATAGCACCCCAAAAGCTTTTCTCATAAGGAACTGGCTCCCCAGACATACTTCCAGGAAATAGAGAGATGGGACCTTGCATTGCATATTTGTGAAATTTCCTTAAAATCTTAGGCATCAAGAACCAAGCTATTAGAGTAGCAGTTAAAGTACCACCAACTGGAATAACCACCTTGTTAAGATATGGGTGTGAATCAAGCAATTGTTGAGCATACGGAGTGAGATCATCGGAAGTTTCTTTGACCTTTTGCCCAGCATTTGATGCTGCCTCTACCACACTCTTCCAAGCATCCTTAACCCTCTCAGCCAAATCACCCGCAACAATCGAATCACCACTGGCATTCATATCACTTGCATCAGAACCAGCAGGAACTTCTGTGCCACCATCCCTACTTCCTTTGCCACCCAAAGAAGATGAATACATACGATGATTCAACAAGTGGGTCATGCAAGAAGCAAAAGGAAGGGTAGTCCTAAAACAAAAGCCAGAGAATCTAGGATTCAATGAGCCACTGTCTCTAGTACCAAAGCAGTGACTACTTACAAGGGATTCAGAAGCCAAATTACTAAACCCATTCTTAGCAAAAGCTTGAGCTGCCTGTAACCCTCCTTTGGAATAAGGAAGGCCCAGTGAACCACTTGGCAACCTTGCAATTCTTGCAAAATTCATAACCACACTATGATGATAGCGGAATTGATGAAGTAATTCTAAATTGAAAGAACCCTTGATTGAACTTCCTATCCATCTAACAGATGAAGACCTAACAGCAGCCATTGTTAAGCTAAGCACACTACAAACTCAGCATTCGACAGAAAACAGCAACGACATTGTTTGATAAATTTTCAATCAAGTTCAATAACGCTTCAATCTGCAAATTCCAGAGCAATATCCATTAACCACAATGCAATCACATCACCCCCAACACACTTAGATTAAATTAAGATTTATTGAAAAAATTCAGAATAATCGAATCAATTGGTAAACCCTAAGCAATAAGCATCGCGTGTTTGTAATAGTGTGGCAGAGAGGGTAATAAGGTCTTACTTTCTTTTCGTATAGAATCGAGTCTTCTAAGAAACCAAACAGAATCGGAAACATTGAGAAAATGAAGATCAAGTGTTGAGTTTATCCTTGCCAAGTAAGAAAACACCCCCATACATTAATACAGTAATAAAAATATAGGTTTTTGATTAATTTATGCATATATAATTTAAAATTAATTTCATCAAAATCAATTTTATTTATTTTTAAACTAGACAAACATTAGAAAATTCTAACTTTAAATTTATAATTTTAATTTTAATCTTAAAATAATATTTAAGCAAAACAAAATCAGTTCAAACCCTATCGCATCACTTAAACAAGAATCAAGGCAATTAAAACATTAAAACCATTAAAAACTATATTATACCATATAATTTCGGCATTTTTATTTAAATAATATTTTTTTAAAACTAATTCCTTGTCTAATATTTTTTTTTTGCTAACTCAGCAGCACTATCACATATGCATGAATGATAATAAATTTTTATTAATATTTTAATATATTATCGCTTTAATATGTCCGCTATTACACTAAAAATTGATACGTGTCGAGATCAGATAAATATCAGACTAAATAAAAAAATTATAAGTATCGGATGTTATACGACGATAGTATATTAAAATAATAATAAAATTTTGTTATCGTTTCATTTAGTCCGATATTCATTTGATCTCAACACGTGTCAATTTTTAGTACAGTATTAAACATATTAGAGTGATAGTATATTAAAATAATAATAAAAATTTATTATCATCTATACATGGGCGGTAGTGCTTCTAAGTTAAAAAAAATAACAGACAAAAAATTAATTTTAAAAAAACTTTATTTTAAGAAATTGTTTTTAAAAAATATTATTTAAGTAAAAATGCCTATAATTTCAATGTACAATCTATATGATAGGATATAAATTCTTTTTTTTCTTCTTTCACGTTAGATTACTATTTAATTATACATTTAATTTTATATCTTCATTTATGTGTAATGTAAAACAAGAGAGAAAAAATTGTGACTTTCGAAGTAGAGGAGGAGGAATAATGATATCTTACTTAATAATTTTTGAAAATAAATGTAATGTTATTTGTGTATTTTTAGTGTTTTTTTAATTAAGATTGAAAATTTATTTCAAAAATTCATACATAAAAATTAGTATTAAAACTTGGCCAGACATATGAGTTTAATAAACTTATCAAGGATACAGTTCATCGTGAAAAATCATTAATAAATTTTGAATTTTTCTAAACTTTTTTAGAGGACAAAAAAATAGTATAAAAATTAATAATTTTTTAAAATTAAAAATGACTTATCATTTTTTGTTTTTTATAAGTTTTTTATTTAATTTCTTAAAATTGTAAGAAATAAATTATTTTTAATAAAATAAATTTTTTATTTATTTTATACTATTTTTTTCTATAAGTTTATCTAAATTGAGCCTGTATTAAATATTGTTGAGGCTCTTCAACCCACGTTTTATTTAAACTTACATGAAAATGTTGAGAGATTGTGTTTTGTTATGTTCCCAGAACCAGAATTGCAAATGAGTGTGCTGAGGTAGTGGCCAAAATCGATGCTAGAGGAAACCATTTTCTCCAAGTTAGATTATTTATAAAATATGAATGTTTTGAATAAAAGGTGGTCTTACATTAAAAAATTGGGACACCAACTACATAATGATCTTACAATTCTATAGTTGGAACTAATTCACATTCACACATCCACTAACCTTGGAAGTGGAGTGGCTCATGAGATTAAATATTATATACTTTTTCAATATCAATTCAACAAATGAAAATTAAAAATGGCCTTTGTGGGAGACAACCAACTACAAAGTCACAAAGAAGAATTAAATGTATCCAAACGCCGCTAGTTTTATATATTAAAGTCTTAGAAGCATTGATTCTTACTATTTGACTTCCACCACAGAAGACAACTTGCTTTTCAGTTCACTTCCCATAATGAAAACTCAAAGCAAGTAAACATATTAACGCCTCAGTAACAACGCTTTCAAATCTTCACTGTATATCTATCTACATTGAATTACGTAATATTTTGTTATTTTAATAAAATTTTATTATATATTTTTAAACACACGTTGAAAATTTTGGTCTTAATTAATATTTTTAAGATTTTTTTTAACCGTAATCTTTTTATTAAGTCATTTTATCAATATATCTCTCTCGGGGAAATTATAATATAACTCTCCAGGTAATATTTAATATAATTTTGAACTTTTGTTTTTGGAACTTGTTACGCATATATTACACAAACACACACAAATTTTGGTACATTTTAAGCTAATATCATTTTTATAAATAAATTACGTAAATATTATTTAAGCATTCTATGTGTTAAAACTTACAAGAGAATATTAAGTTATAGCATAATTAACATAGAAATAATATTTTATCAGTATTTTAACAATATGATTTATTTATATTTATTTAAGATAAATCTATAAATAAAATATCAATTCTTTTCTAATTTTAAACAATAACTTGCATTTAATTTGTATTCATTTAAAATTAATTATGATTAAGTAAATAAGAAAATAAAAATAAATTTTCCTATTCTTTTATTCCAACAAAATTTCCCAATTACTAAATTAAAATATGTTTTCAACACAATAATAAATGAATATTTTTATTTAATACTTATTTTATAAAATAGAAGAAAAAATATTAAGAAAATATAGCAATACTCAAAATATATTTTTTAATTTAAAATATAAAAAATCAACAAGGGTATCAACGGAAAAGATGTAAATTTAAAATAATAATTGAGCTCTTAAATTTAGAAAAAAAAATATAATTAGTTTTTTTATGATGTTTATGAAATTTTAATTAAAAATCGTATTTTTATTGTTTTTTTTAGGAGGAAAACAACTATTTGAAATAAAACAAATATATTATTTAATATATAAAAAAGTCAACAAAGACATAAATTAATGGAATACAAAAAAGTTCTTAAAAAAATACATGAAACAATATATTATTTTATAGAAAAATAAAAATTATAACGTGACTAATATAGGGAAACATTTTTTAATATATATAATTATTTATTATGAAGTGATGCCCTTTGGATTTTAGAACAGTTATACAAAGTAACCGTAGAGAGTGAAAAAAAAAATTACAGTCAGCAAACATGTAACAAGTGAGAGAGGTAAAGATATATTACAAAATTTAAAACTATAATTCCTAAATATCAGGTAACGGTTATAGCAAGAGATTTTCAATTATATATATATGAAATTAACTATGTATATAAAAAAAATCTTCATTTAGATGCAAATAATTTATTTATATGTTAAACATTTCTTAAATGTCTTCCTGTTTATTGATATTTGGAGGTGAAAAAAAATCTCCCACCTCTGTTTTTATTTATTTATTTTAAATAGAAAACAATTAGAATTAAAAATTCAATTAATCTATTAAAAATATTTAGTAAATTTTTAATTTTCTTAATAAATACTTTTCTTTTTACTTTTGGACTATTCAATCAATTTAAATGTTTCATTTATTACACTTAAATTTTTTCATAGATAAAAAATATTAATAAAAATATAATGATTTATTTTTAAAAAAGGAAAATAATACAAAATAATGACTAATATTGACTAAAAAATTAATTTTTTATCATATAATTCAATATAAATTTCGTTTGACAAAAAGAAGCTTATAAGCAACCCAAATATGGCACAGTTAATTAATATTTGAAAAGTTAATCTTTAGTTAAAAGATATTAAGTTATCTTATTAAATTTATTATAAAAGTACATTCATAGTTATGGTTTTATATATATATATATGTGTATGTGTGTATATATATAACTATTGTAATCCTTTTAAAGGTGAATTATTAAGTCAAAAGAAAATAAATAATATAAACAGTGTAATAAGTAAAACGTTAAAAGAAATTTTTTATTAAAATAAATAATGTCATGTTAAAGAAAGAAATGAATGAGAAGTTTTATTAATAACTTGAAAAAAATTATTAAATTTTATTGAGCTTTAATTATTGAATGAGAATATTTTTAGAAAATGTTTTTAAAAAGTGGTTAAAAATAAAAATAATTTTTTAATATTTTTTTATTGTGTCAAGTATTTTTTTTACGATATTATTTTTAAAATTTATATTTATTTAAATTTTTTATTGTGTTTTATGTTTTTAATATAATAGAATACTTATTATTAACAAGTATAATATTTATTAATTTTTCAATTTATGAATTTTAAAAATAGTTGCATACTACGTTTTTAATTATATATTTTAAAAAATAATTAAATTTAATATTGTCTATGCAATACAAAAAAAAATATTAGTTATAATAAATTATAATATTTTTTTTCTATTAATAAATTATAGATTTAATTCCACATGAATAAATGCTAGAAATTATTTCTTCTATTTTAAATTGACTGACGTATAATTTTTTTGGCATAAAAACAGGATAAACAATGAGTATCTTAATTAGTAGAATGATTTTACTAAGTTATCTTTATTGTTTATTTCCTTGTTTGTTAAAAAACCAGTTTACAGAGCATTTAGAATAATTATATTTACTATTCATTCAGGATAGAATATAAAAGAAATTAATGTCTCAGTAAAAATTTAAAACCGTCACTTAATATAAAAAATTAAGAGAATAAAAATATTTTTTATCAAAAAGTATAATAAATACACTTTTATCATGTTTATTTAATAAAATTTTCTATTTTGACATTTTTAAATTAGTTAACAAAATCTTATAAAATAATGATTTTACTAAAATGACATTTAATTTAAAAAGGAGGGAATATCACTAAATATAAAAGAATTATCATTATCATATTAGTTTTTTTTTGTTAATTGTTGTGGTAGATTCGATATTTGATCCAATGCAATTATGTTTGCACAGTTATTCAATTACAGATAAATGCATCTTTAATTGTTATCAGTTGTGAAAACATTTTCCATATATGTTTCTCATAACAGCAGCAAGAGCGTTACTTTGGTTACATGTTTTGGCATAAACTTTACGTGTTTATATTGTGATTAGTGTTGAGATTCTCATTATTTCTGTTACAGATAGATAGAATGAAGAAAAACAATAAATATTCATTTTTCCGTGTTTTTTTCTTAGTTTATCCTTAATAGCGTGTTAGTGATTTTGCGCGTAGACACGTGTCCACCGCTACTCAGGAAGTAAAATGAACTAAAAAAATAGTCAAAGTATTTAATTAGATATAAAATGTATTTAATTCTGTTTTAGTATAAATCAAAAGGACTCAACGACAAGAGTTTTGCCTTTAACAGTAGCATATAATTGAACGGCATACGTTTGTGTTCTGTTCAATTTAAGATTTGTTGTTGTTTAGTTCAAAGAGGGTCTTGTTTGTGTCCCATAATCAGCCACCCTTTTCGGTGGGTGTTTGCAAAGCTTCAAACTTTACCAAATCTACTCTTTTCCTTCTCTCTCTACTCTCTCTTCCTTCTCTCTAATGGGGTTCTCGTAAATCCTGGTTGAGCTAGTTATGATGAAACCTTTGGGTTTTGATTCGTCTTTTGTGGTTCATCTTTTTGTGTAGAGACAAATACACATAAACACTTGACTCCATGTCTACCATGAAGATCAATTTCAAAGACCCAGATCATCTTTACTCTTCATGGAGCTTTTCAAAGTTAATGGCTTTCTTTTTTCTCTTAATCTCCATCTCCTACCTCTTCTATTCCTTAAGATTCGTTAGCCATTCATATGATTGTGATCAAAACCCTCACATTCCTATTACTCATGTATCTGATACCCCATCTGAAGAAGAATCCGCACCCTTAAAACCCTTTGAAGAAACCAACATTTCCCACATAGTGTTTGGCATAGGAGCCTCGGCTAAGCTATGGAAGCATAGGAAAGAGTACATCAAGCTTTGGTGGAGACCTAAAGAGATGCGTGGAGTGGTGTGGCTTGAACAGAAGGTGAAAACTGAACATGGAGATGAAAGTTCCTTGCCCCCATTGAGGATCTCTGAGGACACTTCGAAGTTCAAGTATAAGAACCCAAAGGGGCATAGATCAGCTATTAGGATCTCACGCATAGTGTCAGAAACACTTAGGCTTGGGATGAAAGATCTGAGATGGTTTGTGATGGGGGATGATGACACAGTTTTTGTCACTGAAAATTTGGTTAAAGTTTTGCAAAAATATGATCACAATCAGTTTTATTACATTGGGAGCTCTTCAGAGAGCCACTTGCAAAATATTTATTTTTCTTATAATATGGCTTATGGAGGCGGTGGATTTGCCATTAGTTACCCTTTGGCTGTGGCATTGGAAAAAATGCAAGATAGGTGCATTCAGAGGTACCCTGGATTGTATGGTTCTGATGATAGGATTCAAGCTTGTATGGCTGAACTTGGGGTTCCACTCACCAAGGAGAGAGGGTTCCATCAGGTCAGTACTTTCTAGTCTCTGGAATTTTCTGTGTGACTTTTTTAATTTGTATTGTTTGTTACATTATTTTTGTTTGGTTCTTGGGAAAAAGAAGGAAAAATGCGAAAGAGAAGGGGAAAGTGTGAAAATAGACAGAAAGGGAAATACAAAGAAATTAATTTTGTGTGTCTGTGTGACTTCACAGGCTTGGTCAACTTATATATGATTGGTATAATGGAGAAATTTAATTATTAGAAGAGGTGGAAAAGGTGAATTGATGAGGGTTGGAGGCGAATGGATTTAAAACATATTAGATAATTAATTCGATTTCTCTATATCCTGTGAAAGTAGCTGGGCAAAGGCATATTAGTTACGAGTTTTTAATCAATTAAAAAGAGTGATACTATTGAAAATGAAAAAAATAATAAATAAAACAGAAAAAAAGTGAGTAATTTATTTTTTTATTGATTAAAAATGCATAATTAATGTGATTTAATCTTTGTAAGCATAGGATAAACAAGTCCTAATTAGAATTAGAGAAAATTTATTGGGTTTAGTTTAATTTTAACATAATGATAATGAGAAGGTTAAATAAATACATGATTATTATGCATGTTTTAGCAATTCAGCTGTGAAGGGCTAAAAGGATGGTCTAATAGAAGAGAGAACCTTAGCCATTGTGAAAGGATGTTTTTTGTGTGTGAAATTATTTATATAGCATGATTATATTAAGAAAATTATATGCAGATACATTAAATATGTAGGTTTATATATATATAAACTGAGAAGATACTATTTAACATTTTATTAATTCATTTTTCTTTGTTTATGTGGTTGGCGTTCGAAACTAGCAAAGTATTATCTGTTACTCTGTCCATTTTTAAAGAATTTTATATACTAAGCGAATGAACTTTCCTAAGATAATCTCAATGACGTGGAGAAATCTTTAGAGGTAAATGATAATTTATTGCCTACTATAGCAAGTTAGTGACTGTGATGATAATAAAAAATTACAACAAAAACGACACAACCAGTAGATGCCAGAACATTAAATCAAACATTTTTCTTTAGATCATTTTAAAATCATTTTGTCTTTTGGTGCATAACACCTTATTTATTACTATTTACCAAATACAGCTGAATTTTAAAGCCGCAACTGACAGAAAAGTGGGCAAATTTAATTAATAACTTTTTTAAAAAATATAAAATTTAATTTATTGACTTTAACAAATAATAATTATTTATTAATTTTGAAATAAAAAATTGTTTAATTAAATCGAAAATTTATTCTCTTCGAAATAAAGTGGTCTCCCGTTGTCGACTTTCTTTGTCAAACCTAAACCATCAAAGTGCTGGGCACCTCATCCGCGGTTCCACCGATTCAAAAGGTTAATTTTAAAATTATTATTATTTCGTGCCAAAAAGAATAATTTGAATAATTAAACTTTAACATAATATATATATATATATATATATATATATTATTTTTCTATTCACATGTTCTAGAAAAACAATGAGAAAAAAGGATAGAAACTAAAGTCATAAATTTTTTTCCATAATAAAACATTTTTTAAATTTATAAGTTGTTGGTTTCTGCTTCATTTCCTGTTACACCCGCAGGTTTTAATTTTGACTTTTAAATTTTCTCTCATGCATTGGCCATGGTTTGTGGGGGGAATATCTAATGGTGCAAAGCATCCACGTGTCACAGAATTGTAATTTTGGTGCAGTTGAAAGGAGCCCACTTATATTATTAGGAGACATAAAATTTAATATAATGAAGACTTAGACACACTATGAGACACGTCGCAGTCCCCACCATAAAGGTGTATGCCACAATCTTCTCTATGATTCGCAAACTCTTCTCCACCGTCTCAAAGATAAGACCCTTCCCACTTCCCACTTCACCCACGTTAGATTACTTGCTCTATAAAGCTCTCTTCATTTTCTCTTTTTTTTTTTTTAATTTATTGCTCATTAAACATTAACATTTATGGATTCTCATTTTTAAGAATTTTTCTATTTAATTGTAGGCATTGACATTAAAAGTTGTGTAGTTGTATGCTATGAGCATGTGTTTTTCTCTTTTTTTCTTACGTATAGGAAAAGTTATTTAAATAGGAGTGACAATAGATTCTTATAAGTGAAATAGACGCATCCTTGTTTGTTTTATAGTTGAAAGATTGATTCTTGCACTTTCCAATAAGAAAAAAACACACTCCAATGAATGTGGTTTGAATACACGCATCTCAATTACATTTAACAAGTCAAAATCAATTCTATTTCTCTTTAAACTAAATGGACACTTTGGAGTTTGATTAATTCAAGTTGAGATGGGTGAAGCTATGTAAGAAAACTAGTATAGCATCCAAATTTCGCATATTCCATTTGTTTATAGTATTATTACTCGCATAATTTGACATAAGATTGGTGTATAATTTTTCTGATTTGTGTTTGTTCTCATAATTTCTATCGTGTTTTGTGTTGAATAGTTTGATGTGTACGGCAATCTCTTTGGGCTGCTAGCGGCCCATCCCATTACACCATTGGTATCACTCCATCACCTGGACGTGGTAGAGCCCATATTTCCAAATGTGAGCCGGGTCCAAGCCCTCAAGCGGCTCAAGGGGCCCATGAAGCTGGACCCGGCTGGGCTTGTGCAGCAATCCATTTGCTATGACAAAACCCGGACCTGGACCATATCCGTTTCATGGGGGTATGCGGTTCAAATTTTCCGGGGCATTTTCTCTGCCCGGGAGATGGAAATGCCGGCGAGGACCTTCCTTAACTGGTACAAGCGAGCCGATTACACCGCTTATCCGTTCAACACCCGGCCCGTCAGCCGCCATGTTTGTCAGAAACCGTTTGTTTATTACTTGTCAAATGCCATGCACAAGGGTGCTAATGACACTACTAGTCAGTATGTTCGGGTAAACCCGAACCCGGATTGCAAGTGGAAAATGGAGGATCCGACCCAAATCAAAGTAGTAGAGGTTTACAAGAAGCCTGACCCGCAATTGTGGGACAAGGTAATTCCAAACTTGTCTAATTCAAATGGTTCTTGTGTTTAATATGAACACAACACACACACACACACATATATATGTGACATTGAATTGAATGACACTCAACAATAGTTACTGATATGGGTTGATTTGGTTTTGTTGTTTTGAGCAGGCTCCTAGAAGAAATTGCTGCAGGGTTCAAAGTTCTAAGAAGAAAGGAACTCTAGTGATTGATGTGGGGGAATGCAGGGAAGATGAAGTTGTTGAATTGTAGTTAGAAGCCCTACAATTGATAATTCTCAATCAATTGTTTGCTATATGTATTTTCTTCCCCTTTATGAAATGATTCACTTTTGGAATTTATTGGCGGCCAGTGTAGACAAATGAGTGCTAGAAGTCTAAATTAGATTTTCCATTTTCCTTAAAACTTGTATTATTTTTAACCTAAAGTTTAGGATGAGAGATGCTTGTCACAAGGTCAGATTAGTCACAAGATTTAGCACTTTATTACCTTCTAAATCTTATCACTTATTTTAGAGGAGTTAAGTTTCATAATGATAATCATAGATGGGCTAACAATGAAAGGTGGATGTGCATCTATCTGCTAAATAGTTAGGAAAATGAGTGGGGAACTTCGTTTACTATTTCTTAACCTTGATGTTTTTGTCCCATTAAAATGATAACAGGAAAACTCATGAATATAAATCTTTTGACATAGCACTAAAGTCCTTTCTTTTAAGCAAACTGGGGGAAAAAGACCTCAATAGAAGTTTCAATATACTATTTTGAATTTTTTTTATTTTTATAAATATTTCTAATTATAAATTAAAGGAGATATTTAATATGTTTTTAAGATTAAAAAATATATTTTTTAATACATAACAAAATCATAACAAAAATATTAAAAAGATAAACAGAAGGATATAATAACACTCTAATGTCTTAGAAATAACTTGAGACTTCTACAAAAATATTTGTTTCAAAGAGTTCTAGTTGCACCATTGGTTGAATCCAAAATCTTACGCAAATTTAACACATGAAAATAACACAATCATTTTGATTATATTAAAAAACGATTGGTTATTCCGGCTTTTCCATGATTAGCTGTTCATCAAATTGGTCATTTTTTAACAAATAATCATTGGTATTTCTTTTGTTACATTTACTTTCTAACACACATAAAAAACTTCATTCATGGAATGAAGGTGAAGTCAGCAAAATATTGTATAATTAATATCTTAAAGGATGAGAAATTTTGCTGCGTATATAGGCATGGTTCATGGCTTCAACTACACTGTCTTTGATAAAAAAGATTAGAGGCATTATTTGTGAGGCAAGAATTTAGCAAGTTGAAATTGATTAATAGTGACGCAAGTAAGGTGTAACTTGAAAATTATATTATTTTAATTCTAGATTATGTTATACATAATTTATATATTCTCATCATCAATTTTTTTCTTTTATTTTTATTTCTTACCATTAATCATTCACAATCGATTATGAGTTGTTTAGCTTTATTTCTTACAAGACTTTTTGTTTTTCCTTTTTTAAATCATACTGTTGGCATAGTTTATACACAGACACATAAATCAAATAAAAAAATTCACGTAAACGTTATTATAGAAATAAAATAAAATCAACTTATAAAATTATTACACTTTATACATACTTAATTATAAAATAACTTGTGTAATTTACTAGATAAAATAACTTGTAGTGTTATAAAGCAGATTTTAAAAACAATGGTGAATACAAAGCAGGCTATTTTACGAGGAAGAACAAGTGGCCGGTGGATTTGCTTCATAAACCTGTTTAAAACTATGTTTCATTAATAAAACTGCTCGTTTCATTATGCTCTTTAAATACATATGGTTATTTAAATAACTAAGTATATATTACATACCTTTTAATCTTTAAATATATTACATAAATTAATTTATTTAATATATTTTAAATTTTCCTTAATCAATAATTTAAGGGCATTCATTAGTAAACACCAATGAACAATGTCCGATTTGTTTTCTTTTTTAATTTGCAGATTTTACATGAAAATCATCAAACAAGTTCTATTATAAGCAGGCATAATTACATTTGACTAGATTTTCTTAACATACTGAAATTATTCTTATTCTTTTAAGCTTCTTCTTTTATTTATTAATACTGAAGGCTAAAATAAAAATTTAATTATTTTATAAAATTACAGAGGAAACAGAATAGATTGATTTCCTTTTATATTTTAATATAAAAATAAAAATTATAAAGTAATTAAAAATAAGATTTAAGAAAATAAAATCTTAATATAAAAGGGATTTTAAAAATAATTAATAATTTAAAAACTTTTTAATATAAAAATAAATATTATATAATGTTGAAGGCACATAGTAAAAAAATATTTGAAGATATTCTTACCTTTGAGGAGAAAAATTTATACATATCTATTATAATTATGTTTATATTTATTTTAAAAAAATATTTATTAACTAATCCAAAGTTAAATTCTCATAATTGAAATGGACCATTGAGATAAGCAGTATGTACCAAATTATATCAATTTTAGAATCACTGATTATTGCATGTTTCGATCACTCATATTTTATCAAATGTCAATTTTTTTTTAAATATACAAGTGACATGAAACGATAATATATATATATATATCAAACAAATTAAATTTAGTCTTTTAGTACTCCAATATGATTAAGCCAACAAAAACTCACAAAATATCACAAATTTTGAACATTATTTTTTTAGCCCAAATTAAACCTAAATTGTATTAGTCTAATTTGTTAAAATTCATTGCTTGCAACTGATTGGCTTAAATGGATAAATAACTAATTTTCTTGGCTCTATTCTTTAGCACACATCCACGTAGTTTAAAAACATGCAATTGTAAGTAGAGTTTCAAATAGGCATAATCATACATATATGCTGTGAAATGTACCGTCCTCCTTATTAACCTCACAATCATAGTCAAATGAATCTGATTTTACCAAATTTATTTTTCTTTGCTTGTTGCATGAACACTTAATATTTTTTAATTTATACAATATTACATAAGATTAGAAGTTATATATTATAAATTTTTATTAAAAATTATAAAAATTAATATAATTTAATGCATTAATATTATTAAATACTATAATTTTTAATCAAAATTTACCATATATAACTTTTTATTTTGTACAATATTATTTATGTTAGAATCCTAAATATTCATACTTTCTATTTGCTGACACACAAAAATTTATATATTATAATTTTTATTAAACATCATATATGCAATGCATTAGAAATATTAGATATTATAATTTTTAATAAAAAAATATTATTTTTAAAATTTCTATTGTGTATTCTTGTGTACATATTAAAAAAAAATCAAAGCTATAAAATCATATATAAAATCCTTTTTTTTATGTATATATGTGTGGGCAAAGGCGGTTGAAATTATGCTTTAACACTTGATTCCACCGTTCGGCATTAATCACAACACTGCAACAGTTGACCTTTGGTTTTTGTCAACTCCATGACCCACGTCATTTAAGCCACGGACTATGATGCACGAATAATACTATTTTCAACATTCCAAACACTGTAGCAGAGGGACATGAAACATGCTTTTTTGTTTTTATCCTTTTGGTGTCTTTAGCCTAATATATATATTTTCTTTATAACTGTCAAATTAGAGTAATTCTATTTCTTGAACTATAAATACGTATCCACTTATCAGATTCTCCTCACTTCAGTCTTTTCTTTTCAAACATTGGCTGCTTTGCATTACCAAAAACCAATTAAGATGGCTGAAGATATGGTAGTGAAAAGGTCACCTTCTCAAGAAAAACTTGGCAGGGTTCAATTTGCAATAAGGGTATTGGTGCTACTAGTGTTTCTGGGTTGGATTTTCATTTGGGCAGTTATGCCCACAAATATTTATAGGCAATCATGGTTGCCTCAATACCAAGCAAAGATTAATTCAACCTATTTTGGTGCTCAAGGTCTCATTTTATTAAATTATGCATTTTGGTTTTTGATTGCCTTTCTTTATTCATTTTATGCTAATATATCCTATATGATCATATTGCAGGTGCTACACTTCTTATGTACCCTTTCCCTGTCTTACTCATTGCTATTTTGGGATGTGTCCACCTTCACATAGCCAAAAAAGCAAATGATTCCAAAATTGCAAGGTGCTATTTTTCACCACTTAATTGGTTTTATGTTTTTGCTAAATGGTTCAATATTGTAAGACAGAAAGTAAGTTATATTAAAATTTTGGTTTTTATACTATTATCTCAACATAAAAAATCATGAATTGATTGCACCGTTAGTGGAATTAATTTAACTAAAAAGAATTATTGTACTAATAATTGGCTTATTCCTTCTATGTTTTTTGCACCATCAGTGGCAATGCAAAGAAACGTGAGGTGACCACATGGAAGCGTCCAATGCTCATGAAAGGCCCTCTTGGCATTGTTTCTGGCATAGAACTGGGATTCTTGCTTATGTTTATTGCACTCCTAGTGTGGTCCTTTGCAACTTCTTTACACAATAGCTTTGTAACAATCACCCCAGAATTGGCAGCGAAGGATGGCCAGAAAATGTATTATTATTATTACTATTATTGCAACAACAATTTAATTTGAGGGATCCAATAAGTAACGTGCATTTTCATTGTTACATTTATATTTGTGATGCAGATGGGAAGAGAAACTAGATCGTGCAGCTTTAAGGTTGGGTCTGGTTGGGAATATATGCTTAGCATTCTTGTTTTTTCCGGTGGCTCGTGGGTCATGTGTGCTGCCACTGCTTGGCCTCACCTCGGAGAATAGCATAAAGTACCATATTTGGCTTGGACATTTGGCCATGACCCTCTTCACTGCTCACGGCCTTTGCTACATCATCTATTGGGCAGCTACCTCTCAAATTTCTCAGGTTAATTAAGATCAACGTCCCTACTTACACAGCATATCTATATCTATTGATATATAACAGGTGTGAATAATAAGACATTCTTTTGCAATAAAACGTATCAAATTTTAGATAAATCATTATTCTTAAATATGTAGTCAATCTATTTTGTAGAAAGTCTTGTGTTCGAATCCTATTATCTGAAAAATTTTCTCATATCAGCGTAGCTACAAACTTCTAGTTTCGAACCTTTTTAAGTTTAGAGACACCCTATAGTCTCTAACCGTAGACAGAAAATGTCTTATAATTAATATTTACTAATATTTTAAAAAAATTATATATATTAAAATAAATTAAATTTTTAATTAAATTTTAAATAAATGAAAACTTAGACAAATTAAATTATATTGCAATTATAGTTTTTATATTAAGTTTATTTTGTAAGTGAGCTAATATTCTATTAGTGAGTCGAAACACAAGGGATGAGACTTGAGATAAGTCTTTTGGGCTTTGACTTCGGGGCATGGAATCTTCTATTACAGTGTGACACATTCATGAGAAGGGATCTTAGCTCACCTGTTGCTTTTGATGTTTTCTTGGGCTTATGCCTAATGACCTTAATTTATTTCAAAACTGGTTAAGATTAAAAAAATTATTGGTTGAGTTGAAAAAAGAAAAATTGTTGAATAAAAAATAGAAAACTGGCTCACCACCCAAAAGAAAAAAAAGGGTGGCGGAGGGGTCTTCATGTTTCAAGTGTAAAATTATCTGTACCGTATGAATTTATGGGTATATGTTTATAAGAAAGTTGCATTAATAGTTGATAAAAAACAGTTGTACAAATATATAGGACAATAATTAATCCTAGAACAGTTCTCATAGAGATGTACTTTAGCTTATTTTCTTAAACTATAAATTTTAACTTACAAAATCAGATTGCTTTTTAACTCATCTACGTGAAGAAACGGGTGTGGAGATTCTAATTATAGGAACTTAGATATGCTAGCTATGGACTTTTATATTATTGCTTGTTTATAATATTGTATTTAGCTCATGAGGAACTTTGTTTCATCACAGATGCTGAAATGGGACAAAGTTGGTGTATCAAATGTGGCAGGAGAACTAGCTTTGCTTTTCGGTTTGTTCCTATGGATTGCAACCATTCCTCGAATTAGAAGAAAAGCCTTTGAGCTCTTCTTCTATACTCATCACCTCTACATCCTCTTCATAGTATTCTTCATCTTTCATGTTAGCATTTCCTTTGTATGCATTACACTCCCTGGTTTCTACCTCTTCTTGGTTGATCGTTTCTTAAGATTTCTACAATCAAGGCACCAAGTTCGTTTGGTTTCTGCTCGTGTTTTGCCATGTGAAACTATAGAACTCAACTTTTCTAAGGGCCATGGTAATTTAACAATGCTATGTTATCTCAATATGTTGAAGTTACCTTTAGTTAATTATTGAGAAATGACTAATTTTCTTCATTATTAATGTTTTTTTAGACTTTTTTAAGAGCTAATGTGATATGTTTTGGCAGGGTTGACTTACAACCTCACAAGTGTTATGTTCTTAAATGTACCAAGCATATCCAAGTTGCAATGGCATCCATTTACCATTACTTCTAATAGTAACTTGGAGCAAGACAAGCTAAGTGTTGTCATTAAAAGTGAAGGAACTTGGACTCAGAAGCTCTATCAACTACTTTCAACTCCTTCAACAATAGATCGCCTTGCTGTATCTGTTGAAGGTCCTTATGGAACTGCTTCAACCAATTATCTAAGGTTTGCATCTTAGAAGCCAAACACAACTTCAACACTTCTAATTGAAGTGCTTACCTTATGCTTTCTTAAAACTAAGTCTACTTAATAACTAACCTTTTTTTTCTCTTTTTACTAGGCATGACACTCTTGTGATGGTGAGTGGAGGAAGTGGCATCACACCTTTTATCTCTATCATTCGGGAGCTAATATATCTAAACACTACATTTAAATGCAAAACACCAAAAGTTGTCCTAATCTGTGCCTTCAAGAACACTTCATCTCTGTCAATGCTAGATTTGATCCTGCCAATATCTGGCACCTCATTTGACATTTCTAATCTTGAATTGCAAATTGAGGCCTACATCACAAGAGACAAGGAGCCTAAAGCAGATGGTCAAATTCACCCTCAAACTATATGGTTCAAGCCAAATCCAAATGATGCACCCGTACATGCTATATTAGGTCCAAACAGTTGGCTTTGGCTTGGTGCTACAATCTCATCCTCTTTCATTATTTTCCTTATCTTAATAGGGATAATTACCCGTTACTACATTTTTCCAATTGATCATAACTCGAATGAAATATTCTCTTTCCCTTTGAGGTCTTTCCTTAACATGCTAGTAATATGCGTGTCCATAGTTAGTGTTGCTAGTGCAGCTTTTCTTTGGAACAAGAAACACAATGCTAAAGAAGCAAAACAGATTCAAAACTTGGAAGGATCGTCACCAACAGTGTCACCAAACTCCATGGTTTACAATGCAGATAGAGAATTGGAAAGCCTTCCATACCAATCCCTTATTCAATCTACGAATGTACATTATGGTGTAAGACCTGACCTAAGAAGTAAGTCTCTCTATTTTCTTTAATTTTGGCCTGGAGACCTATCAACGGATTAAAATCACTCATTTCCCCCTTCTTACAGGAATACTACTTGAACTCAAAGCGTCAAGTATGGGAGTTTTTGCTTCAGGACCCAAAATAATGAGGCAGGAGGTTGCAGCCATTTGCTCATCTAGTTTAGCTGAAAATCTGCATTTTGAGTCTATTAGCTTTAGCTGGTGATTTCACTTATACTGTTGTTGTAAAGGGTGTAATACATTAATGATCAACCTTCGGAAGGAGCTAGTACTCTCAGGCTCAGCCAGCTTTGATGGATTTACTAGTTTTATTGCTTTGAATTAAATTAGTGAAAATTGGTTTGTCAACAGTAATTGGACCTTCATCTAAATGAAAATATAAATAAAGGACTTTTACTTTGACACCTTGATTCTCCTGTCTATTTATCATCTCAATAAAACATGCAACAATTAAGTACAAACTACATAAAAGAAGTTTCTATACAAATAAGGCTTATTAGTAATTCCATGAGAATTTGCCAAATAAAGCACACCATCTTATTGATAAATCCACGCTCTTCACTATTGTCAAGAACCTACTATATCACAAGCTACAAGAAATTATTTCTGTATATATCTTCAACATCTTGCTTACATACCAAACGGCATCCACATCTCACTATTTGCAATGAATAGCAGCAATAACTTTTCAATACAAATTCAATTTCACTGCCGGCACCACCTCCATAAATTCTGTCACGAAATTTATCAATGGACAAATAAAGAATATAAAGGTGAGGGTAATATGGCTCCATAGGAGGTAAATCCCTGGAGGTGATAAACATCTTACCATTAGGTCCAAACAAGTAACAATCAACTTCATGAGGACACACTCCAGGTGGATCATCATAACTTACTAACATGAAACACAGAGCAAATCCCACCCATTCAGTTAGAGGGCAATTATGAGGGACTGATACTTTTGCAAAGGAAACACATTTTTGAGGAACAAACCATGATGGAATTTCACCCCCTGTGATAAGCATGTCAAATCTTGCTCTGGGGAGACATGCTGCCTGTAACTTGTACACATAATTATAATGTTGAATTAGTAACCTGAATAGATGATTATGTTATACAAACAAACACAGTCACAAACAAAGTTTTAGAAGGTCAGGTAGCCAGGGTGCAAACCTCTAAAAACTTTTTTAGTTCACTTGGCATGTACCATGTTGTTGGTGATGCAAAGAGACTGCATGGATTGGATGGATTGAATTTGGAAGTTTCCAGTGAAGCACAATTGCTTGCATCCAATTCTCTTATGCTTGATGGAAGTTCTGGCAACTTTTGAAGCTTTTTACACCAGTTTACCCTAAGATATTTAAGCTTTGAGAGTTTGGAAATACAACTTGGTAGACTAACAAAATTGTTGCCAGTGAGATCTAGCATCAATAATGAAGATAAGTGACAAAAATAATCTGGGATTGATTCTTCAGATAGATTACAGTAACTTAAATTTATATAGCTCAAAGAGGGTAGACCCAATATAGAAGGTGGCAATCTAAATCCAGTTGGAGCTTGCTGATTCCCAAACATCCACTTAAAGGGGTGAAAAAACATGTTCATTGACTTAGATACTGGCCCTTTGCACCCAGCAAATGAGATTTCTTTGAGGTTTTCAAGAGAAAAGACAAATGAAGGTAGCTCTTCAATAGCAGTTTCACTTGCGTTAAGTTCCTCCAAACACTTGATTTCCTTTAAACTCTCTGGCAAGCTATGGATTTTTGAGCAACCAGAAACATTCAACACTATGAGGGACTTTAATTTATGAATGGTATCTGGAAGGCAAACAAGGTTCTTGCAATTCTTTAAATCCAAAAGTGCAAGGCCAACTAGACATCCGAGTGATGAGGGTAGTTTTGTTATAGCAGTTCCCTCTAAAGAAAGCATTGACAAATGTTCCATGCATGCCCCAAATTCTGGAAGATATTTAAATTCAGAGCAACCAGAAAGACTTAAATTTTTCAAGGAACTCATCTCCATTTTTCTTGGAAGAGATTTGAGCATTCTGCAATCTTTTAAATTCATCAGAACAAGTTTCTTATGGTGTACAAGGGACTGATGAACCTCAGTTAAACTTATGCAACCTTCAAGAACCAATGATTCAAGATTTGAAACTCCAACACAATCCGGGGACTGCTTTAGGTTCTTGGAAAAACTCAGATCAATGGACTTCAGCTTTTCCATAAACTGATCAAAGTTAAGATTGTGCAAAAAAAGTTAGCTTTCACAGTTATTATGATAATGACAAACACAATTTGGAAATAACTCATGATGGATGGTCTTTACCTTTGTCCCATGCCAAAGTTGTTCTATTCTGCTATGAGGCAATTTGAGGTCAACAACTTCATCTAATTGATTATCAAGTGGCAGGGTTTTCAAAGGACATCCTCTCCAATGAAGAACTTTCAATGCACTAGGAAGGCATTTGAGGCCAAGTGGAAGTTGCATGTCGCATAACTTGAGTAACCTTAACTCATTTATCTTGGAAAAGGCTTCAGCCCTCCAACGTGCTTCGTATGGTTGAACTAAGTTCAGAACTATGCTTCGAATTTCATCAGTTCCCTAGAAAACCAGAATGGAAAATAACTAAACTTGCAGAATAAGATGAAACAGACACTTAAAAAAATAGTGCATGTGTCATTCAGTTTGTATCTTAAAGCCATATTTATTTACGGTCAAGCAGCATCTCATAGTCACAGAGAAACTGACACTTACCTTATTTTTTGTCAATACATGATCAACGTCTTTCTGAGACCACAACCTACTACGTTTGCCAGGATCATTTGGAGATTCCTGAAATACAATATTCTTGCCCATTTCTTGTAGCAAATCATGCATCCATAACTTGCCATTCATCCTATCTAGAGTTACCAAAGATCTTTCAATCAAAATGTCAATTCCGATTTTGGGATGATCACCACAATTTTCTAATATATTTATTACTTCATTTATGTCCATCCCTTTGAAGAAACAAGCAATATCTAGAAACATATTTTTCTCCGTAGGTTGTAAACTGTCATAACTTATTTTCAGTGTATCTTGGATTTTGGAGTGTGGAAAACTTCTTATTTGTTCTAAAGCACTATGCCAAACTCCAACGGTTCTTCCATGAAGATAGGAACCCAATACCTCAAGTGCCAATGGAAGGCCTTTTGTATATTCAACCACTTCTTTGCACAAACTCAAATACTCTTCTTTAGGTTGATCTTGTTTAAATGCTTTCAAACAGAAAAGCTTAAGGGCTTCATTTTGGGATAAGCCTCTAGCCTTACATGTTTTATGCACTCCATGGGTCACTAGTAGGTGCTTATCTCTTGTTGTGATGATTACTCTACTTCCTGGACCAAACCATTCTTGCTTTCCAGCTAAATTCTCCAGTTGGCTTAATTCACTCACATCATCAAGAACAAGAAGAATCTTTTTGTTGCTTAAAGAGTTTGCTATTATCTTTTTCCCATCATGAAAATTATAAAAATCGTTGTTTCTTATATTAAGATGAGAAAGAAGGTCCTTTTGGATGTGAACTAAACCATTTGTCTTAGACACCTCTCTAATGTTTTCTAGGAAGCAACTAACCTTGAAATCCTCTTTAATTGCTTCATAGACTAATCTAGCAATAGTTGTCTTACCTATGCCTCCCATGCCCCATATTCCTATGAAGCGAACATCATTTAACCGTATGCCTATGAGTGAATTAACTTCCTGCATCCGTGAATCAATCCCAACAAGGTTATCCATGCAAGATGCCAATCTAGGAATTAATCTTTTCTGTATGTGCCCAACAATTGTTTCAATCAATTCTGACTCATGCCTGCATAGAGAGAAGTAAAAAATCAAAACCGAGACTTGTATTTTAGTCCAACAAGAACAATGAGTAAATACAGCAACATGGAGAAAACAAGTCATCATTTCATATTTTGCAAATCCAAGGCACAATGAGAATTAAACCATTGCACTAGATGTCTCAAAGTTTAATTTTTGCTTAATTATACTTTTGACTATTTTGATTTGGACTATGTAAGGTTTTATTTTCTCAAGAATTTCTTCAAATCAATTAAGTCTATTTTTAAAATCAGGCAAATTTGATTCCACTGTCAATTTCTTCTATAAACAAATTTTCAATTTCTTGTTTTCTGTCTAAATATTTGAGATTTAGGATGTAAAATCAGTCAAGTTTTTATAAGTAAGGAATTTAATAAAATTTGAAGAATTTTGTAGAATGTGAAATAAGGTTTAAAGACAAAAAAAATATTTTTTTTATTTGAAATTTGGTATTTGATTGGTGAGTTTAAGTAGAAGAAACTTAAAAATAATTTCATAATTCAATTTGTGAAGATTTTGAGTACAAAATGAGGATTTAATAATATTAGACAAAAAATTTAATAAAAATAAATTTTTTTAATTTTAAAAATAGAGAAACTTAATTAATTAAATCTAATATTTTACCTTAAATTAGTTTTAAACTCAATTTTACTTTAAATTAATTTTAAATCCAGTTCTAAATCTAGTTTTTGAGGTAAATTTATTTTTCAATACATTGTAAGTTTAATTTTTAAGATAAAACTAATTTGATGTATTACTCTGTTATATTAAATTAGTGTATTTTTAAAATATTTTAATAAATTAATTATATTATATTTTATATAACTTATAAAATAATTATTATTTTTTAAACTTATTTTTAATAAACAAAGTTAACGATAAAAGTTTAAATTAAAACCTATAAAAATAAATATTAATAATATTAAATAATAATATTATTACTATATTATAATATTTTAAATAATAAAATTAATTTAAAAATATTTGTAATAATTTTTTAATATAAAAATTATATTTTAAAAAATGTTATTTTAAAATATTTAATCTTAATTATAAGAATCAAGATTAATAAAAAATATTAGTGATAAAACATAATTATGAAAAAATTTTGTTAACAAGGGCGAAGATGTTATGAGATAGTGCTTTTATGAATAATTTAGATTTAGACAAACAAGGAAAAGCTCAGTTGTAGAAAATAAATTTAAAACACTAATTTGATTAAAAAAATTATTGTAAAAAAAATTTTAATTTAATATACGTCCAAACTTTTAAAATCAATTTAAATTTAGTTATAAAATAGACTTACATATCTAAAATATTTTTCCTATCACTAACATTCAATGTACTAAAAAAAATTCACAATTTGGCTATTAATCCATCTTCTATTTCATATATAATGGTATAAGGATATCATTTGAGCCAACAAAGAAAAAAGTATTGTAGCAAACTAATGATGAGACAACTTACAGATCCTTGGAGTGCCAACCAGAGTAACTTGCAACTTCTCTTAAGGCATGTCTCCACCTTTGCACCTTCTTTCTATCCTCTCTGAATTTCTCTTCATGTTTTCTAAAAGCTTTGGCAAAGCTTCTTTTTTGATGCCTTACATCAGAGGGGTCTACACCATAGAAGATAGGAAAAACGGCTTGACCATTAGAAGCCTTGCATTCAACAATCTTTTGTAACTCATCCAGACACCATGTTGAGGAAGCATAGTTTGGTGAGAGAATAATGAGTGCAAACATGGACTCTTCAATGGCTTTCATGAGCTCTAATGATATCACTTCTCCCTTCTCAAGATCATGATCATCCTTGAATGTTTTGATACCCCTTCTTTCTAGTGAAGCAAAAAGATGGTCTGTGAAACCCTTGCGTGTGTCATCACCCCTAAAACTCAAGAAAACATGGTTGATCCATCTTGAGTTTAAGATGGAAGAAGAGGATCCTCCTGTGGTAGATGCCATTCAATTATCCCTGCAATGATGCTGGTTCTAGTAATACTAATAGTGCAATGCAAGGTTTTTTTTTAGTATAAGTACTTATAAAGAAATCATGGGAATGACCAATTGACCAAGAAGTGTGAACATAGCCACGAGTAGTCGTAGGAAAGAGTTCGGAAGTTTGGTTGCTTTCAATTAACAATTGTTCAACTTTGTTTGGTTGCTTTTTAATAAAATAAATGTTCATCAATCTAAGGTGGGATGTATCAATCAATCATATTATGTTATGTTATTTTTTTAATATTTCTTATTACACAACCCCAACTCTTGATTTTCTTAGGAGGTTTGGATTAAAACAAACATTTTTCTATACTAAATTTTGCATTTTTTATGATTTTTTTAACAAAATTTTCTTTTAACTTTTGGGAGAATATATCTTCAGAAATGTGTTTAGAAAATTTTGTTAAATGATTTATAATGTCAATTATTTAATATTTAAATGATAAAACTTATTTGTATTTTACTTTTTGATGGATTCATTTTTCCAACTAATATCCAAGCAAAAGGAGAGAGACTCAACAAAAGCATAAACGAATAAATATAGGATAAACAAATACCATTCTTTTGTTCAATTCCACTAGTGCCAATAGAAAATAAAATTCGATGATAACTTATTCAATTATTGGAATTTATTTCAACACAGAAAAGAAATGTTCGCAATCCGTCGACTTTCACTTTTCCATCATTTCGTTGATGTTTCGAGGTTGCTTCTTTCTTCATCTTGTTTCTTTTTTCCTTTTAATTTGTGGCCTTTTACGTTTTGCAATTTTAGAGAGATGAATTTAGTAAATTCATTCACTATGGGTACCTCTTAATGAGTTCTACTGTTCACATAATCAATTTCTAAAACAATGAATTTATATCTACCTCTATTCATTATATCACTCATCTTATTCCTTCATTTTCTCTATTTTTTATCTCTCTTTAATTTGTAAGAAAAAATTATAAAAGATATTGTACAAATATTATTTCTCAAACTTAATTCCAATCCGGAGATCTTAATTCTAGCACTACCAAATAAAATATAAAAAAAATACAACTTGTGGTTAGAAAATTGGGTGACAAAGTCATTAATCTCAAAACTACAGGAACAATTTCTAGTTCGTGGAATAGAACCAATGAAACGCCAAGGTAAACCAGAAGGTTATTGACCAAAAAAATTCAGAAGGTCCATATATTGCTATTGATATAATTTATGTCAGGAAAGTTAAAATAGTTACAACTGCAGTGTGCTTACTATATGCACTCCATAATTAAATATCATGGCAGAATAAGTCTTCTGCAAAATTTCACCATAAAAATAGACAAGTAAGTCAACAAAATGAAACCTTCTAACTTGGCATAAAATCCATGAGTGAGAGTGACACGACAATTATATAAAGATATTTCACACAGGACACATATTTGGTACCCTCTTCACCAAAAAAGAGAAGAGTAGTAACAGTAACAAAGTACTCTAGGCATGTGCATGGAGATATAAAACCAATATCAGCCTCCACCTAATTGCTTTAGCATATTGGAGATATAATATTTGGAATGAAATTTTTTGTTTGTTCAAATGTTAAAATCACAACTTTTTGGCTTTTGTAGTACAAGCCCTGAAGCAAAACTCTTCTGCTTAGTAATCGCATATCTTCTAGTCTTTCACATTGTAGATGCTCCCGCAATTAATGGCCACTGAACAATTCAGACACATTAAACTTTTAAAAAAATTAAACGAATAATAGTAGGTAGACATTGAATCTTGTTAGCAATCCTAACAAGTAAAGCATATAAAACAGAAAAATCATGCGATGTAAAAGCAAAAGAACACACGAATTCAGTCCTACAGAAAAAAAAAAAGTTGGTCTGAACTTAAAAAACAAAGCACAGATAGAAATTTGCTATTGTGATGTAAAACTGAAATCAAATAATTCTTATTTATAGAGTTGGACAGATAAAAGAAAAACAACAAATGTAAGAAAGGATGCAACACCAAAATGATCAATGTCATGCTTCTACAGATAAAGTGCAAAATATCTTGCAAGAGATTCTTTCAGGTATATAGATGAAAATATTCTTTTACACGATTAAAATTCAGTTATGGAACAAGCATTATTATAGTTTATTCAAACCAAAAACACAATTAAATTCGTATGAATATGCCTTTTGAGAAGCAGTAGATTTAACAGCAAAAGGATAATAATGAATGTGAGTTTGTTGTTCAGTGCTTAAATCATTTGGCAGGTTAATTAAGATCAGATGCATTGTAGATCAAACTCCATCTTTTATCCCCCATCAAATTCCCAATCCCCGCACCCCACAGTACAAAAATCCACCTCAATCAAAGTGAAAACCCAATTCATTTTTTTTTCTTCTTGGAAAAAAAATTATACACAACCAAATTTATAATTGATGCAAAGTCCCAATATTCACATTACAGAAACACAACTCCATTAGACCATACTTTTCAAAAGCAAAAACTCACAATTCCCAACACCCACATCACAGAAGCGTTAAACATTAATTAAAAAAATTGAATAAAAAAACAAAATAGAAGTTAATAATTATTATTTTATAAAAAAAAAAGATAATTTAACAGTTTAAAATAGTCTGATTCCACTCTGTTTTTATCGACAAAACAGGCGCAGTTCTGGGAATGGGAATGTCCATTAAACCATTGGAACTGTCATCCCAACCCAGTTGGCATTTCTGCTGACACACCCATCAATCACTCTGTTATCATTTTCATATGACATTTCCACTCTATTCAAAATATTGCTGAAAGCCACAGCTATTGTTATTATTATTTAAATTACAGCTATTTTTCACAAAAATAATTTATTTATTTAAAAAATTTATGATATAACCTAATTTTTTTAATGAATTATATGTATAAGTTGAACCCAAAATCTTATTTTTAAAAAAAATCATTTAAATAAACTGCTGCTGTAATTACTGCAAAAGATCTTGGTCCATGTTTTGATAATGACATTAATGAAGACTAATTTAAAATTTAATTTGAAGATGAACACTATCCAACAGTCATCATGGCCATGATCCATTGTATGGCACTAGGAAGACCACCACCATTCATTGCCATTTTAACCATTCTATTGACATCACAATCACTATCCTTTTCTTTGTCATCACCATCCCTTCCAACCATCATTTATCCATTGTCTGCGAGTTAAAATTATGGATAATTCACGTTTCCCAATATAATTTAGGTGCTCATGTATTTGTGCGGTTTTGTGGGAAACATGTCTCATCGTACTCGCCACATTAGGCTTTAGTTTGATTATTTAAATTCAGTTTTTTAATTTGGGTAAAATAATACGTTATAAAATATTATTTTATGATAAATTATAACATTTAATACTATTATATATTAAATTCTATAATATTCTATATTTTTTAATAAAAATTATTATATATTTTTAAATGCACATTAAAAAAATGATTTAAATTATGATATTGTTTTTTATTTATTTTTGGTCAAGGAATAATGAATGTTGATGTTAACTGAAAATATCGCAAGCCCGAATTTGCTACTTAGGTTTAGTCCAATAAAGCTTTGTTGGATCAGCCCAGCACAAGACTAGACCCTGCACGTTCATGAATCTACTCTAAACTCATTAATTTTGTCTATTTTTCTTTTGATAAAGTATAAAAACAGTTTTACTTATATAATATTCAGTAAAAGAAATATAGATATAAAAATTTAATATAACTTTGTAACATTTAAATTAAGGCTTGTTGTTATTGTATGTTTAAAATTTACAGGAAAATATTCCCTTGAAACTTAAATCGATGGAAGTTGATTGTTTGTTTGATTTAATTTTAAATTTCTAAGCTAAACCCAACAACAACAGAACCAGAGATGATGAACGTACTGGCTACTAAATTTAATTAAAAAAAAATCATATTATTAGAGAAGATAGATACGGATCTTGGGGACAATTAGAGTTTAAATGAATGGATGTGAAATAGAAGCATGTCCACATCAAAGATCAAATTGGAAAGAAAGATAAATCAAAAGGAATAAAAGAAGAGAGAGATTAATGAAGAGACTAAGCAGATGATGAGGACCACAAAAAAAGTGAGTTTTAGAAGATCCAAATGAAGAGTCAAAGATGCAGTAGCCCACCTCTTAGAGAAGATAAGATAATACCTGAGCATGTGGGTGTGCAAGCTTTGATGGCAAGTCTAATAGGGAGACACATATCAAACATCTTGTTTATGTATTGGGTCCCTTCAATTTCGTTTAGCTTCACCATTAGTCCTTTTTTCATATATCACATAAAGCAGAACAAATCCCCCTTTCAATTCACCACATTATCTCCAAACCACCACATTAGGGGTATAATTCGTGAATAGTTCATTTCACTTTAATTTCATAATCTAACTATGAGAATTTTATCCTTTAATTTAGGAGAAAAAAGCAACTGGACCCGTAAGATTTAGATAAACTCATTAAAATAATTAAGCTAGGGTCAAAATCATAATCCATTACGGATAAAAACATTAGTGTCTGAATACATCATTACAGACTTGATTAAATTATTTTTTATCCGTCTATTTATAAGGTGAAAACCGATATTTATGTATTTAGATAATGTTTCTTTATATAAGAAATCAAACTTCCTCTTACTTTATTATTTTATCATGTTTTTATTATGTTTGACTATTATTGTTATAATAAAATGTTGAAGCAAAGAATTTTCGTTCAATTCACAAAATCAATGTGAATACTGAATATTGTATCTTTAAAATTATACGGAGAGAAAATTGATCCTAGTTAAGCAAAAACTAATTAACCCCCAGAATTCTTTTGCAATATAATGAATAATCTTTGATTCGTTGACTTTTTAATCACTCGAACAGTGAAATTGAACGATAATGTTGCGGATTATAGATATTTTCAAGAACAAATTGAACGAGAAGGAATAACTTTACATCAATATAAGTGATAATTACTCTTACATACATCCTTAAATAATTTTAATTTGATAATTTTATCACAAAACTCATA